TCCTCATTGGGAGGACCACTTTTCATCATTTATACTCTATGCATATGTATGCTTTATGGAATGGCAAAAATTAGTGTCATTGTCTTTTTTCATCCCCCCTTTTTGAGTCGACAATGCATTTCAACAAGTGGAGCCCGAGTGCCTACAGTTATATAGAGTGTTGTTTTCTCCTCTTTATCCTATCATCTCCCCTAAGAATCTCTTCTTTTCCCTGTGCTATTTAACATTTTGATCAATGATTTGGATGAAGGTGTAGCTGCCATGTGTATCAGATTTCTAGAAGAGACAAAACCAGGAAGAATAGTTAGATACATTGGATAATGAGGTCAGGATTCCAAAAATATCTTAGTAGACTAGAATGCTGAGCTAGAATGGTGAGCCAATGGTCAGTAGGCTAGAATGTAAGCTTCAAGAGATCTTGAGAGGCAGAGGGTTATAGTAGGAAGAATCTTGGGTTTGGACCACACCACCTGAATTCAAATCCCAGCTCTGCCACTTCTACTTATATGACAGTATACAAGTCACTTAACCACTTCGAGCTTCTTCATCTGTAAATGGGTGTGGTTGGATTGATGACTTCTATGCTCTCTTCCAACTCTATAGCCACGATCTGATGAACTTATGATTTGTGAGTTTTATCATTGTGGCTAATCCCTCCACTGGTACATATTGCAACCCATCACTGACTTCTCATCCACAATGATTCTTGTCTTTCCATCAATCCTCTAGAGTAGGTATGCCTATCATATTAAAAATCATTCTTTGAGTCTTTTTATATTTCATATATATCAAGAAAACACTAGTGCTATTTAATATAATAGGGATGAATATAATGTCTTTCACTTGGGTTCAAAAAGCTTGAACAATTACAGAATGGGAGTGGAAGATATAACTAGAAAACAGTTCAATGACGATCTGGAGGGTTTAAGGACTGTAAACTCTTCAGAAATCAACAGTGACTAACAATCAAAATAGCCAGTGTGAATGTAGGCTTTATTACCAAGAGTGTGGTATCCAAAACAAGAAAGGCAACATTCCTACTGAATTCTTTCCTGGTCAGACCACACCTGGAGTAGTGTGTTCAGTTCTGGGCACATTTTAAGAAAGAGTAAGGGAGTGCCAGCCCCACTGCATTCTGTCTTAGACTATTGGAAAGATTGTTGGATTTGGAGTGAGAGGACTTGGTTTAATTCTCATTTATTTCAGTTACTACTATATGGCCTTGGGCAAGTGCCTCAACCTCTTTTGAGGTATACCATTAAGGAAGGAAACTGAAAAGATGTGCCCAATGGAAAAGAAGCAGATTGGTGAGGGAACTGACCATGGCATAGGAGACTATTTGCAGGACCTAGATGGGGCTGCTTAGCTTAGAAAGGAGAGAACACAGGAAGGTTGGGGGTGAGAGGAGGGCAGCGCAGGATATGTCTTCAAGCATTTGAAGGGATGTCACATAGAAAAAGCAATGGATATTTTGTTTGGCTTCAGAAAGGAGAAATAGATGAAAGATGCAGAGGCGAAATTTTAGGCTCAATGTAGGAAAACCTCAATAATTAGAGCTGTCCAAAAGTGGAACGGGATGCCGTGGAAAGTAGTGGTACCCCTTCATTAGAGTTCTCCAGGCCAAAGGGTGAGTGAGCATTTGTTGGTAATATTATAAAGGGATTTCTGTTCAGGGACAGATGGGATTAGATGATTTCTGAGGTTTGTTCTAGCTCTGGGATTCTATGATTCTCATTTGGTAGTGACTTTGATCTCTACTCTTACCAGTCCAACTGCATGACCAACCAGTCTTCTCCTGGCTGCTTCATTCAATGCCTGCCATATCTAAGGTCTCCTGACTCTACATGAAGAAAGTAGCCATGTTGTGGTGGTGTGTAGCTTCGAAATCATCTATAAACTTTTATCTCTTTTAGTCTTGCCCCAAAACCATATTTTTCAGCATGCTTTTGGCATCCTCCCCTGTACGCACTTTTGCATTGAAATCACCAATTATCAAAGTTTCCATTGACTATGGGCCAGTTTGTCAGTTTCTTTAGAGAATCTTTCTTTTTTTTTTTTTTACATTGGATTGCTTTATCCTAGAGTCCTCAAACTAGAGGATCTTCTTTTTTTTATGATAATTTTTTTTATTTTTTTTTTGTTTTCAACATTTACTTCCATAAGATTTGGAGTTCCAAATTTTCACCCCATCTCACCCCTCCCCCCACCCCAAGAAGGCATGCATTCTGAATATCCCTTCCCCTAGTCTGCATTCCCTTCTATCTCTCCCCCACTTCTCTTGTCCCCTTCCCCTTCAATTTTCCTGTAGGGCAGGATGAATTTCTGTACCCCATTTCCTGTATTTCTTATTTCCCAGTTGCATGTGAAAACATTTTTTTAAACATGTGTTTTTAAAACTTTGGGTTCCAAATTTTCTCCCTTCCTCCCTCCCCACCCACCCTCATTAAAAAGGCAAGCAATTCAATATAGGTTATACATGTGCAGTTACGCAAAACACTTCCATAGTAGACATGCTGTGAAAAACTAACTCTATTTCCCTTAATCCTTCAAAGAATCCTTCTTTATCTTGCACAGTGGACACAAGCAAACTATAATCAATGATCAAGGCATGTGTGTTGTGACCAGATGGCTGGCTTTAGAGCCAGAGGACCTCGCTCAGATTCTTACTAACTGTGTGATTCTGAACAAGTCCCTGGCCCTCTCTGGGCCTCAGTTTCCTCATCTGTAAAATGAGGGGGTTGAACTAGACAACTTCTGAGGTCCCTTTCAGCTACGACCCTCTGATCCTAAAACTGTCTGTCATGGTAAGGGTTCATGCCTGCTGTAAGGTTACTTCATTTGTAATTGGACAAAGACCTCACACTAAGAATATGAACAGTAAAATGTCTGCACATAATCTAAAAACTGTATGATTCTTAATTAATCAATCAACAAACATGTATTAAACATGTACTATGTGCTAGGTGCTGGAGATACAAAGAAAAGTAGAAAAAAATTCCCTGACCTCAAGGAGCTTACATTCAAATAGAGGAGACAATACCTAAATAAATGTTATTTTTATATTCTTGTGTATATAAAACTTAATGAGATACATGTAGTAGGTGGAAGAGAACCATAGAGGGAAGGGCACAATGAGGAGAGAGCACTGGAAAAAACCTCCTGCAGAAGGTAACACTTGACGCCAAATCTTGAAGAAAGAATAAGAAGTAAAGATGGAGAGGGGATCGTTTTGACCCAGGCGAGACAGTGGAGCAAAGGCATGTGAATAGGAGAGGAGAGTATGAGGATCAGGATGACTGAGCCATAAAGTGTGTGAAGGGGAGGAATTGTGAGAACACTGGAAAGACAGGGAGCAACCAGGTCAGGAAGCGCTTTGAATACCAAACTAAAGAGATTATGTTTCACCAACACCCTCTTCCTACTATTCTGCTCCATTCACTGCATAAGTGAAAAAAGAACCAAATAAGACTAAAAATATTTTTTTTCTTTTCACTCCTTTTTCTTGGGTTGGTATGGGCAAGAAACCATCATTCAATTACCACCTTTTAGGTGATAAGCCTCTCAGAGCAGTCCCTTGGACAGCCAATCCTGTCTGTTACTGAACTTGTCCTTGAAATTCTCTCCATTTGGTTCAAAACCACCAAAGTGTGCTCTGGACACTTTGCTCATCTCTCTGACTGAGTAAGCCATCGGAGTAGGATAACTATGAAGAAATGAGTTACACAATATATAAAAATGTATAAAACATAATGTGAGTTATTTCCAGGTATATTTGTCATTGGCTATTGCCTCTTTTTGTGTGAATGATATTTATGTCCTCTATGCGAAAGACACTTAACTTCATCACGTGTGTTCTTGGATGGGCAGATTTGAGTTATTTTGGTTTTATTTTTGAGATTGCTTATCTCATCCAGGCTGGAAGTGCATTGGCCACTCACAAATCCAATCCCTGTATTGATCAGTACAGATCCTTAAAGATGCTCCATTTTGACCTGAGTCAATTTGCTACTCCTTGGGCAGCCCAATGGTTCCCTGCTGTTGGGGGCTCTTCGTATTGGTGTGGAAAACCAGTTAGTTTGGCTTTCTGCCACTTGGAACTCTCAGACTCAAATAGTCCAGCAGCCTCAGCCTCCCCAGTAGCTGACATTATAAGAGCATGCCACCATGCCTGGTAATAAATTACTAACACCTACTAAGACTAGACTCAAGTCATTTAGTTTCATTTGACCTTGGAGTTGCATAGAAAAAAATACCATGTCATAGGATATCATTTGCCCTTCCAAAAACAAAAAAACAAAAAACAAAAAAAACAAAAAACAAAAAAAAATAATGAAGTCAACAAGTGTGGTTGGAGAAGTAATTCCCAAGGGAAAAGAAATCTTTTTACTTAGAAGTGATTCTACTCTATGCCAAGTGTCAGACAGTTACCATCTTATTGGAAACACATGGAAATCCTGGTCATGGTTTGTATTTTTCCTCTTCTAAAGCACACACTTGAAATATGGAAACTGCATTCATCTTGAAACAAGTCAAGTATTTTTGAATATTCAAGCTTTGAGTTGAAATTGGACTCATGATTCTTCGAATTTCAAGACACTTTCTCCCCCATTCCCTCTTCTCAAAAAATACTGATTTTTTTTACTAATGTGTTTCCTTACTTGAAGAGACAGTATGGCATAGTAGGTAGAGTGTTAGATTTAGATCCAGGAAGACCTGAGTTCATATCCCACCTTTGACACTTAATGGGTGTATGGCCCTAAGCCAGTCATTTAACTTCTGAGGGCCTCAAACAACTCTCTCAGAGTCTCTAAATCATATATGGGATGTGATCTGCTTTTGGTGTAGGCATTTGCATGCTGGGAGTTCCCTATTCTGACAAAATCAGATATTTAGCAAATTTGTGTATTTCTCTCCTAAAATCCCCAAATCACTATTTTAGCCAAACCTTTGGTGCATGTTTTCTACGCTCATAGTGACTAAAAGCTTTCCATTTTTTTCAGGCTCTTCTCGGGGACCCAGCCCTCTAACAATGGGAGCTCAGGACACCCTCCCTGTGGCAGCAGCATTCACAGAAACAGTCAATGCCTATTTCAAAGGAGCAGACCCCAGCAAGTAAGCCCCAGCTCTAACCCTACCCTGACCTAGCTAGAGGCCAGTGAGGAACCTGGGTCCCCTAACCTGGGCAGGACAATTACATAGCCCTTGTTTTTCAACTTTGGGTGTTCATACGTCATCCCTGACACTGAGCTCCAAAAAAAATCTAATTCACCAAATAATAAGTGGCTTAGCTAGTAAAGGTAAGAGGATTTCATGCTGAACAAGACATTGTTACTAAAAACCAAACATATATGGAAATCATAATTTTAGGTTTAGAGCTAAAAAGAACTATTGAGTCCAACTCATTTTACAAGTGAGGAAACTGAGGCCCAAATGGGTTTCATGACTTGCCCAAGGTCACACAGCTAGTACATGCCAGAGGTGGCATTTATCTTCCTGACTTGAGGTCCACTGCTCTACCCATTCCTCCACACTGCCTTTTGTTGTAGAACCCCAATATATTGCCCTAAGGCCCTGGAGGTGGAGAATCAACAACTAGCAATGACATAAGCAGGAGATTGATTTGGATACTCGCTCAGACTCTCGGGGCTCTCGAGCTCCATACAGCTAGCCCCACCCCGCCGACATCGCCAAGTGTATGCGTTTGGAAAGCGTCCTTCTTGAAAGGGAAGGAAGACTTTTTGATTCTGGGTGGGACATCTCCCCACCGACACCCCAGATAGCAGCGTCGGCCTACCTGTTTTACAGATCACTTGATGTCCATGTTCTGTGCCCAGTTAAGGTACACTGTGTCCATTGGCACACCTGTCTCCTAAGATTTTGATCTCATTATTTCAAATGCCATCTAATCCAACTGGTATCTGAATAATAATCCTTCACCCTCAAACCCAACAAGCCCCCCATCTCTACCTGAAGACCTCTAGGGAAGGGAAACCCGTGACACTTTGGAACAGTTGTGATGCTTAGAGAGTTGGGGGAGGGGGGAAGTGTTTGTTTCCTGACATCAAATGTAAACCTGCCCCTTTGCAACTTAGGAACATAGTAAAGTGTGAGAATCATAAACAGTGATAACAATAGCCAGCATTTACATAGGCTTTAAGGTTTGCAGAGCATGACACATTTGTTAATTAATTTAATTAGATCATGAGCTCCCACCGAAAGGGAACTGAGAGGTCATCTAATCTAACCGCTTCATCTTCCAGAAGGGCAAACTGAGGCTTAGAGACATTAAGTGCCTTCCCAACATTGCACAAGAAATAAAAGGCAAAGTCAGGATTCTAACTATCAAATGAGAACATTTGTAAAGCAATTAACGCAGTGCCTGGCACATAGCCGCTTACGAAATGTTTGCTCCCTTCTCTCCCTAACTAGCATCCTGTGATTCCAAATTCAGTGTTCTTTCTATGGCATCACTCTGTTCTGAGTTCTTGAGGCTGGTGACTTTGCGCAGTTCTGCCTCACTTAAATCCAAATCACTAGAAAGTCAAGACAGCACCCTCGTAAATGTCCTTGGTTCTCCGAACAAGAACAGAGGAGCAACAGGTCTGTCCTCTAGGGACCAGTAAACGAACTCTAATCCCTCTCCCAGGTGATTTCCCTTCAAATGCTTGAAGAGAGTAATCAGGATCCCCCCTCCAGTCCTGGCCCAAGTCATCTCTCCTCCAGCTCAGGCATCTGCAGTTTTCTTAAGAAACAAGGAAAGCATTAACAATAAGTTGGTAAAACGAACCAGCACCAAAGCCAACATGTTGTCCAAAGGGGCTGCTGAATTTGTTTCCCTTTGTATCAGGAATGTGGTGCTGTGCTCAGCATCTCCAAATGTATTTGTTTTCGGAATAGTGTGGGATTAATCTGGGATGCAAATTTAAAAATTCTAGCAGGAAAAATATACTGCCAAGTCAGCCTAGGTTACAGCTGTGGAGTTAATGAAATCCTAGTCAGTGAATTTGCCCGGCAAATAAGGAAGGGGGGAAGATGGTGATGCAGTTTTGTTTTGAATTGTTAAACTTGTTCATCTCTACTCCCTCCCACCCCCACCCCCGCCCCTGAGACACACACACACACACACACACACACACACACACACACACACACCATCCTTGTCTTCATTGACTTAGTGGAGAGCCAAAAATTTATTTGTAGAAACTAAGTCTGTTTTGGGGCAGCTAGGTGGCACAACGAATAGAATCCTGGGTCTGGGGTCAGGAAGACTCCTCTCAAATCCAGCCTCAGGCAATTACTAGCTGTGTGACCCTGGGTAAATCAGCCTTGTTTGCCTCAGTTTTCTCATCTGCAAAAAGAGCTGGAGAAGGAAATGGGAAGCCACTCCAGTATCTTGCCAGGAAAGCCCCAAATAGAGTGATGAAGACTAAAATGACTGAACATTTGTTTCAGCCATGTTTGTTTGAATTGTACTGATTATGTATAATTACAACTCGGGCCTCCATGTATTTGTGGTAGGTGTTGTTGTATGACCCATCATATATTTTCTTCTTTCTTCTAAAGCCTTGAATGTCTAAAGTGTGACTTTTAAGGTTCTGCTGGGCGACGAGCAAGCATGACGCCTTCAATTCTAGAGCCTAATCTAGATTATCTATAAATACCAAAATTCTATGTGCACTATCTGTATCTGATCCCAGGTCTGGAAACGTACCTGAGAAACAAGGTTTGCTTCCCAGCCCACTCTTTAAACCTTACTCTTTAATCTTCCAAGCCTGGTCGCTGTTTGAGGTACATAAATATGCAGGTGTCGATAAAATGAAAAGCCACCATCCTCTGACAGCTCCCACGTTTGAGCTTCCTGAAATAGCAATGGGCTTTGAGCTTCAGTTTAATGCGTATTCCGTATGTGGATATTCAACCTCTGAGAGCTCATTTGAACTGAAAAGTTTTATACCTGTCCAAGCCGCAAAAAAGTAAGGTTAGGTTTGGTATCAGGAAAAATTTACTAACAATAAGAGCTGTCCCCAAATGTAATGAGCTGCCTCCGGTTCTCCCCCGCTGGGAATCCACAGGCAAAGGCTCTGTAAGTATTTGTTGGAGATCACAGAACCACAGCATTGTCCATTTGATTAGGATTTCAATAGAATTGATTGGTAGAATTCTCAATGGCCATTTCATCTAAGTCATAACCAAAAGACAATCCTCACTCTAACAAATAGACTGTGTGTATGTAGGTGACAGTAACAGCAAAGTAGACAAGCTTCTCTTTTTCCTCAACCAGCTCTATTAAGCAGCAAAGAGTTCTTCTTCCTCCAATCAGCTCCCCCAAACCAAAGTTGTTTCCTCTAATCAGCTCAGCTCCCAACAGCAGGTGCAGAGCTCAGATCACCAGGGAGCCAAGCTCTCCATCAGACGGCTTCTCTGTAAGTCATCCTCCCAGCTGGGCTGAGCTGAAATTGTCTCTCTTCAAGCAGCAGGAGGACAGTCTCAGGGCTTTCCTTCATACTCTCATTTCTTCAGTTTTTTCTGTTTCTGCTTCTATCCTGCTGCTTCAGAGGAAGAAGTTATAAAACAGGGTTTCCTTGTATGAAGCAACTCACCTCGATCTTAGGGTGAGAAACCAGAATTCAGATTTCTGTCAGACACATCACAATTAAGCGATATACTGCTGTCCCATATGCACCAAAAAGTTGGAGTTATCAAGGTTTCCCAGCTATCAACCTCAAAGCACACACACACACACATACATATAACATACATGCATACACATATCTATGTATGTATATATGCACATATGTGGTTAGTTGTTGGAAAATAATGTATGTAGTCCATTTTTGCCTCCAGTAAATATTTTTCCTCTGAGGGGATGCTTTCTCTGGTCCTCTCAAAACTGTTGGTTTCTCCCCGAGGAGTTTTCTCCAAGTGGCTATTTCTCAGAAGTTTGCTCAAGTTTCAGCTCGTTTTTACCAAGGAAATTGTCCAAACCTACAAGGGGCGGCACATTACATTTAATATCTGTGTGACTTGGGGAAAGTCACTTTTCCATCAGCTGTAAAATAAGAAAGGGAGACTTACCAGCTTACGAGGTTCCTCCCAACTCTGCCAAAGTCATCTACCTACCAAGTGGCTGGTGGAAGATTCAAACCCAGGTCCTCTGACTCAGTCCAGTGCCCTTACTCTTATACCATACTGTCCCCTTAAAGGGCAGCATATATGTATTTAAGTGATTTTCAGTATAGCCCTAAGGGTGTGGGGGAGGGAGGGAGTTTGCCTTCTCCTACCTTGGGGTTGCTTGCTAACCCAAAAAAAGAGCAGACCCTTATTAAAGGCTTGATTACATTCATCTCCTGCACCAGAATCATTCTGACATTATTCCCATCCAACTACAGGGGACAAATTTCTCTATACCCCATAACAGAGAGAAATCAGCCTGACATATGGGTCAGCCTGAATGAAGGAAGCGTAAGATCCCTGGTCCCAGGGGAGGGACTGACTGCACACACAGCTGCTGTGATCCTTCCCTTCTTTCCTGGCTAACTTGCTATAGACTGGATGCCCCAACAAATCAGAAAAACTTACGCTGAATCCTTGCCCTTTTCAGCATCTTGACCAGCCTCCTTCTCCTTCAGTGACCATGTCCTCAGTTGAATTCTTGGTGCTGAAGGTAAAGGAAGAATGAGCAGGCAGCATGGTAGTGGAGGAGACTTGGGAGGTCCTCTATGCCAACCGTAAATGCCACCCAGATGCCAGTTACTATTGTTGTTAATAGCACCCTGCTGGGGACTAAAGTCAAGACGTTCATTTTCCAATTTAGGCAGACCTCGCTCATATGGAACTGGAATGTTTGCCATTTGAGCCCCAAAAACGACTGAGGGAAATCTCTGCTACACATATTGTCTCCCACATTTTACAGATAGGGAAACTGGGAGAAAATTACCATGACTTACCTAATATCACACAACTTGTAAGTGTCAGAGGCAGGATTTGAACCCATGTCCTCCTGACTCCAGCTTCTCCAACACTCTAACCACTGTGGCATGCTGCCTCCTGTTGTTGCCATATGGCATTACAGCAGCCCTTTCTGCTCTACTAGCTGTGTGACCCTGGGCAAGTCACCTAACCCTGTTTGCCTCAGTTTCCTCTTCTGTAAAACAAAGTAGAGAAGGAAATGGCAAACCACTTCAGTATCTTTGCCAAGAAAACCCCAAATGGAATCATGGGAAAAATGACTGAAGCTTTGCCAAATCCATTTGAATGGTTAGAAAAAAAACCTATCTGGACCCTGGCCAAGCTAAGATACATATTGCTATAAGATTCCAGCTCTAAAAGGCCATAAAATCATCACAGAGTAATTATTCACTCAGTTCTCAAAAAAGCTGAGTTATCCTCCCATCCTGACTACCTTTAGGGCAAGACGAATACCCTAAATGTGTAAATGTTAACTTGTGGAGGTCATTGCATGGGCTGCTTCTGTGGGCCAAGCAACAGAGAGGCAGGCTCAGGTAGTGGACCAGCAGCTGGCGGTGGATTCGAAAAGACCTGAGTTCAAATCCCATCCCCGATCCATACTGGCTGTGTGACCCTTGGCAAGTTGTTTAACCTCTCCATGCCCCAGCATGCAGTTAAAAGATTTGAAGTTGGGGAGCACTGGCCCAGCTGCATTGGTAGATGGAGTTTCCTGACTGGGGACCTCTCTCCATTGATGAAATTAGAGATACGGAAACTCCCTGGGGGAAAAAACTTTTTAAACTCATTAAAGGAAGAAAACAAAAATGAGTTATTAGACTAAACTGGAAAGTCAGCATAGTCGATCAATATAATAGACTTTTATTCAGTGCCTACTGTCTACCAAATAGATTAAGGCCCTTGATGCCTATTGGGCATTGATAAACTGGAGACTGTCTTCCCCAAACTGAAAGAGTATTCAAAGGAAGACAGTCAGGAGGGTGAAGGGCCTTGAGGTCACAAAGTATGAGGAGTAGTTGAAGGGGGACCTGGCATGTCTTTATCTTGGAGAAGAGAAAATTCAGGGCAGGACATGACAGCCACGTCCAACTATTTAAAAGGCTGTATGTGAAGGGGAGGTTGGATTTGGTCTGTTTGGCCCCAGAGGACAGAGCCAGGAGTTGAAAATTGAAAGGAACCCGTTTGGGCTCCATGTCCAGAAAACCCCCCTAGCAATGAGAGCTTTCTGTCCCAACGTGGTCCAGGCTGCCCCTGGAGGGGTGGGTCCTCCTCAGAAGCTTTCAAGGGAAGGCTAAAAGTGAGCTTTGGGGAGACGTTATCATGGGGATTCCTTTGCTCTATGGTGTTGGACTGAACAGCTGCTGAGACCCCTTCCCATTCTCAGATTCTGTGATTCTGACATGAAAAGACATTTACAACTGTCTTCAAGTAAAGGAAGGGGCTGTCATACGGGAGGAGAAAAGCCATGTGCTGCTTGGCCACAGAAGCAGTATCAATGGTCAGACTTGCTGTCAGAAAGAAAAAAAACCACATCCTAACACTTAGAGGTGAAAGGGGCTGCCTTGAAGGAGTGGTTTCCCTCTCACTGGAGGTCTAGAAAACCCCCTGGTAGGTTCAGGGTAGAATCTTTGATTGTGAGCCAGGTAAGAAACAGAGTCATGAGCCCATCCCCACCCCAGGTCTGCCTTTCTTTCCGGGGTTGCTGACTTGGCTTCCCCCTCTTCCTCTCCTCTCTCTTTGTTTGTCCCCCCAGGTGTATAGTGAAGATCACTGGAGAGATGGTGCTGTCATTCCCCGCAGGCATCACCAGACACTTTGCCAACAACCCCTCCCCAGCCACCCTGACCTTCCGAGTGGTGAATTTCAACAGGTTAGAACACGTCCTGCCAAACCCCCAACTTCTCTGCTGGTAAATACCATTTTTCTCTAAGCTCTTCAGAGATGGGGGTGATCTATTACTTGGTAGCTGAGTGGGGAATCAACTGTTGATAAGAGTAGCATGTGACGCAGGTGCTTTCAGATAAAGGGGAAATGTTTAGCAGCATGCACAGGCAGCATGTGTGTGTGTGTGTGTGTGTGTGTGTGTGTGTGTGTGTGTGTGTGTTCAAACAGCCTGCCTTCTCCTGGTAAACTGAAAAAACACTCCAGAAACAAATGAATAAGCACTCTATATAAATTGTACTTACCCAGAAACAGAAAAGTAACTATTGGAAATTACGCTGGATGTGATATTTTTTTCCAGTGCAGTTCAATTTCTTGGCATCAAATCACAGATTTAGAGATGAAAGGGACCTTAGAGGCCATCTGATGCAACACCCTCATTTTACAGAGGAGGAAACTGAGGCACCAAACTGGGCAATGACATTTCTAAAGACACAGGTAGTAGGTGAAAGTGCTAAGATTGAAAGGGATTGGGCAAGTCGATTTAACAAACAAAATGTATTAAAAACGATAACATCCATTAAAAGCACTGGAGGGGAGATGTAGCAATAAGACAGGTTCCCTGCCCTCATTCATCTTACAGTCTAATTGGGATAATACAAATATTTTCTTTTGTTGTTAAAATAAAAAATTTTTGGTATAGTTGATAGGTAGACTGGAGGTGAGAAGGGAGGGAGAGGTGGGGAGGGAGAGACAGAGAAAGAACGTGAACATTTATTAAGTAATTGCTTAGCCAAGGATGAAAACCCAAATTTCCAGGAGAGCCCACCTTAGAATCAAGAAGGTGTGGATTCAAGTTTCACCTCCAACCTCTAAATACCGGCTGCCAAGCCACTTAAACTCTCACTGCCCTCTTCCAAGGGTGTCAAACTCCAATAGAAATGGGGCCACTAACCCATACACTACAGAAGGATCCCTGTGAGCAGCATATTGTCTTAGAAAACCACCTTGATTTGGTTGTTTATCTTGTTAAGCATTTCCCAATTACATTTTAATCTGGTGCCTGGGGCGCTCGGGAGGGCTGCGTGTCAATGGGCATAGGCACTTCTGTGCAACCTTCTCCCTCAGTCTGTTAAGGGACAGAGTAGGCCAGTTTGAATTGCTTGAAGGAGTCTCCTTATCTAAGAGTTTCCCATATCAACGGAATCACTGCTCTAGTTCCTGTCCCTAGTAAATGGAGATATAACTAGGGCAGGGCAGTTGGGGCTTGAGCTAGGACACCAAATTTAGAGAATACATATGCTCTGAGCATTTATACTCCTTCAGCCCCCAGGGAGTAAGAATGATTTGTTGAGCTAGGATATGAGCAGATGCTGTGTTTCCCCTACTCCATAGTTACACCCTCCTGATGCCTTCTTGGTCTCTGAGTCTAGAGTTTTCTGGTTTTTCCCCGATAGGACAATGTTCCAAGGTTTTCTCCTGTCACATGGTCTTGTAACCCAAAGGTCTCCTTCACACACACACACACACCTGCATTTCTCTTACGAAGAAGATTCCAGAGAATCTTTCCTGCTTTTGCCTGGGGTGTGTTTGTGTTCCTTTCCCCAGGTGCCAGAATTATTTGTTAGGGCTCTGTAATAACAATTTAATCCAGACTTTAAGGATATATGATTTCAGTCCATGCAGGCACATCCCCCGCACAGGTTGCACCCCTTTCTTTGCCCTGGGGGATGTTCTTCATAAGTTAGTGTGACCCATTCATGAGCTTGTGGCTAGCTTGGGAATTATCTAGGCAAGTTTTCAAGAGGAAGGCATGGAATCTGTCACTGGGCCCATATATGGGCCTTTCCAGATCAGTGGGATCTCCTAGAGGCCATATTCAGTAGGCATAGCCTTCAAAAACCATAATATCAGAGACCTAGAACTGGATGGAATCTCAGATATCATCTCGGCAGCATGGTGAGAGAGTAGTGTGGCAAAGCACTTTGCATGTTGGACGTGCCCCCTCAGAAAGACCTGCCTCTGATACTTACTAGCTGGGTGACCTCTGTGAGCCTCAGTTTCCTCACCTGTGAAATGAAGGTGTTGGACTAAAATCTCTCCAAGCTCTAGATGAATGATCCTTAATTCTGAGTATCCCTTCCGTGACACCCTGGATGACTTCCAGTGAAGAAGAATCCATTAGCGTCCAAGGCAGCCTTTTCTGCTTTTAGAGAGCTGAAAATGTCAGCAGGTTTGTCCTTTCTCTGAACTAAAGGTTCCCGCTGTACAATTGGCTAAAGAGAGTTATCACTCAATAGGTTAATAATGTAAAAAGGAGGGATGATAAAAGTAGTTCTGAGAACGAAGCATTATCAATAACAATCAATCTGTAAATATTTATTAAGCACCTTCTAGGTGCGTGCCAGGCACTGTGCTAAGCACTGGGGATACAAAGAGTCCAAAGACAGCCCCTGCCTTCAAGGAGCTTACAATCTAATGTAAAGTGTAAGCACTTTCGAGACACCTGTGTGGAGATGAATCAATTTCAAAGCATTCTCAAGTGATTATTAAAGCAGATCCTCTAAGGACCTATACTAGGCAACATTGTTTTTGCTTGGTTTGAGCTATTAATGTTTGAAAATAATAAAAACTGCATTCTTTTAAAAATATATTACAATTGATACTTTTTCTGATTTACATTGTCCTGCCCTATGCTAAGTCTAAAGTTTACTATGTTTTATTTAGCATTATACATAGATGTGTTTAGTGAAATTTTACTGTGCACATATGTTAAATCTAAAGCTTACTATATGTTTTATTTAGTATTATATGTAGATGTGTTTAGAGAAATTTTACTGTGCATATATGTATGTATGTATTATACAATGTTTCTAACAATAATAATGATGATCATGATGATAATGGTACAGATTTATGTAGCCCTAACATTTGCAAAATTTGCAATGGAATGGAATTTACAATTCCATCTATTTTCCCATTTGATCATGACACTAACCCTAGGAGGTAGGTGTTACTGTCATCCCCATTTAAAGATAAGGAAATTGAATTGCAGAGAAGTGAAGGGACTTACCCAAAATCATACAGCTAGTAAACATACAAGATAGAATTCAAACCCAGTTATTCCTAACTATCGGTGCAGTTCTCTAACCACTAAGCCACATTGTCTCTTCTTTTTATGTCCATTCTTGCTATGGACATAAGTTTGTAATAATCACACAAATGTGAATGCTCATGCAGTATTCATTTTATAGGAAGATGTTGCTGACCATCATAATCTTTCAGCGGTAATGGAATTATAGTGATCTATTCACCTTATTTTTACCTTCTTTGATTCTTATTTTATATCTTGTTATTTTTATATTTTTATTCCTCTAGTGCCCAAGAAAATAGTTAAAGAAATAGAGTGCTTCACATGGGTGACTAGGTCCTGTTGTGCCCCACACTATCTTTGTGCCCACCCTGGGCACATCTCCTGATCTCTCTGGGACCCAGTATCCTCATCTGGGAAATGAAGGCTTAGAAAAATGTTTCAAAGCCCCCTTCCAGCTCTAAAGCTGTGATTCTAGAATGATCCTGGGATGCTAAGTCAATAGATAGACTCCAGATGTGAAACCAAGGCTACCTAGAGCCTCAGGCTGACCCTTAGGTAGCCGAACTCCCCAGGCACATATGCTCTGCCATGGTTCTTACCATTCTTCTCCCTTCCCTCCCTCCCACAAATTTTTTCTTTTTTTTGGTGAGGCAATTGGGGTTAAGTGACTTGCCCAGAGTTACACAAGCTAACACAGCTAGTGAGTGTTATGTGTCTGAGGCCAGAATTGAACTCAGGTCCTCCTGACTCTAGGGCCAGTGCTCTATCCACTGCGCCACCCAGTTGCCCCTCTTCCACACTTCTAAGTGAAATGACTCAACACTGCAGAATCCGAATGGGCTGAGGAGAGTTACTGTAGAGTTACTATTTACTACAGTTACTATTTACTGTGGAGTTACTATTTACTACAATTACTATTTACTG